ACATGTAAGAAAAAAGAATGCTTATCGGTCAGATTTGACCGGTACGAACGTGAAAGGGTTAAGAAAAAAAGGGAATTAGATACGTACTTACAACTATCATTAATGCAAAAAAAAAAAAAAATGGCTTGAACCGGAGACCTCAAACACAAAAGCGGTTCAGCATACACCACTAGGCTACGCAGACTTGTAAAAAAATTTGTGTCTTTTAAGTATCTTTTATGTATATTTAGCCCCGAGTTAGAGTCTTTAGGAAAACAGGATAACTTAGGTATATAATCATTTTTCTAATACGAAGACCAAGTTTAACCATAAAGATTTTAATGTAACAGTATACTATGATATAAAAGAACAAAACCCCTTCAAGTTGTCTCTGGTTAAAGTTGGTTCAAATATATAAATCTTGTTTTTGAATGCTCACTCGATACTTCTCGATATATCCAATAAAAAATTCTGTAAATTTCGTTAGTCCTGTTCAAGATAATTATGACTATTTTTGCCAGGTACTGGTATAATTTGTATTTATTTATACCTAGATTTACTTAATATCATAAAATAATGGAATATTTTGGATGTTTTTAAATGCGCTATATTGTAGGCCATTTGGTTTTCTAAGTCTATACCTCTTTATAGTTAAGATATTACAACGATAAATTTGTAAGCATAAACAATTCTTAATTGGATATGTTAATATAGAATGACTGGTCTGCGATAAAAGTAAAATTCAAAATGATGGAGAAACACGAATACCCCTCTTATTGTCTACGAAATGGAGAACTAACAGTTGGATGGTATTTTTTTCCCTAAAATTCTAATCCTCATTGAATGGAAAAAGTGGTCAGGCGAAGTGAAATGATTTTAAAGATGTTTATTTCCTATTTAGCTCGTAACACAAGATTTGACTGGTAAGTAAGTCAAGTATAATTTCCGTACACCAGGCTAAAGCAGGGGGTAAATAAAATGACGTCACAATGTGTGTGTTTGGTTTTCTGATTTCAAAAAGCAAATAACATGACGTAACTTTGCACATTGTAGCACGTATGGTAAATTTTATCAATAGTTTAAAACACTATATAATGAATTCGTTATCCAGGTTCAATCAAGGACTTTCGGCCTTGGGGTGCATGGAATAAAACCCGGGGTAAATCCCCATACACCGTTGATTGAACCTAGATATCTAATGTGATATCTTCCATTGTTTATGTTTCGCCATGCGCTTGGCACTTTGAACTGAAAGTTGCGGGTCCTTCGGATGAGACCTTAAAAAACCGAGGCCCCGTGTCACGGCAGGCGTTGGCACGATAAAGATCCCTCACTGCTCAATGGCCCTGAGTGCTGAGTAAAGGTCAAAATTTGAAGCCCTTCACCGGTATATGGTGACGTCTTATACGAGTGAAAAATTCTCGAATGGGACGTAAAACAACATACAATCAATCAATCCATTGTTTATTTCATACCTTTGCCCCGACATTCTCTTACTGCGTTTACCTTTTGTTTCTCCAATATAAATCGTTCTAAATAAAGTACATTCAATTCCAATGACAATGTTCGAAGTTTTTAAAATATATATCTACATGTAATTAGAAGAATTTTTGAAAAAAAAAATGTCTTGAAACAATCTCTCTCAACGTACAAATATACTAAAACATATCTCTCTTAGCTTAACGTATATTTCATCATTTTGTTCTTCATATTTACATAATCTGGAATCAAGATGGCAATGAACGGGAGAAAATAATGACTTAGTTTCCATCCTGTTCAACAGTCAGCACTTTTCGAGTCATATGTCATAGTTCACTATTTGCGATTTAGAGAAACCAATACACCCATCGTTCTTATTTTTCGTTTGTTGTGTAATCGGTTAGTTTAAAAATTGAAGAGAAATTTACATTCCAATAGAAAAACAAAAACAAAACAATAACTCAGTCTAATGCTTTAATTGTGAATCTTAGGCAAATTATAAATGCAGAGCAGATTTGTATTTAAAGGTTGAATTAGGCACAAAAATTCCTGTTGCCTTCTTACATTATTACTTTTTTTCCTAAACAATATTCAAAATAGTCATAGAAGTATTTTATGTATATATTAGTTTTAAAAGCTTGAATTAATTTTGATAATCCTCGTTAAGAATTGAGTTATACTCTTCATATAAAACTCAAAATGAGTTAAAACAAATGTATTTAAACACTAAGACAGAAAAATTTGTATCAATATCAAATAGTCTGATATTTTGTTTTTTAACTTCCAAATTTATATCAATTTTGTACTCATTTATTCCCTTTCAAAATACGTGAGTCTTGTGACATTACTCATTTTATGCACTTTTATCTCTCAAAAACTATTTTTATCCTGTACTAGGAGCATGGAGTTTTAGATTTTGAACTCGAAAAAAGGGATATATTCATATTCAAAGCACTTACTGAGTGAACGCTTATACCAACTGATCAATTGGAATCCATATCTATTTTGAAAGTGCATTTTTTATCAACTTGACATTTGACTTTTAACAATATAGATATTTTTTTAGATTATTTGTTATCTACTGGTGAAGTAGGAGCTTAACAGAGCAGTACATTCCAAACATATCACCGTTCACAGTAGCTCATTCGGTACAGCGCTCGCTCTGTGATCGGAAGGTCGTGAGTTCGAATCTCAGCCGCGACCTACTTAAGGCGTCAAAAATGGGTAGCAACTGTTCCTTCGCCATGTGCTCGGCACTTTGAAGTGAAAGTTGCGGGTCCTTCGGATGAGACCTTAAAAACAGGCCCCGTGTCACGGCAGGCGTTGGCACGATAAAGATCCCTCACTGCTCAATGGTACTGAGTGCCGAGTAAAGTTCAGAATTTGAAACCCTTCACCGGTATATGATGACGTCTCTATTTGAGTGAACAAATTTCGAATGAGACGTAAAACAACATACAATCAATCAATCAAAACATATCAACTTGAATGAATCGGGATGCCTACCCACCCGTTGATCAATTCGTTAACGACTTGTAAATGTAGTATTAAAAATTGTTAAAATGCATGAATACATTCTGCAAACCGAATAAAAAAGGCGCATATTAAATAACAAGAGGCTTTTTAAATCACAACGCTCAACTTAATTTCTTTGGCAGAGCAGTATTTTTTTTTCATAATATCCCTCTTTTATTTCATAAATATTTTGACTCTATGTTGTGTACCAAAATCTAGACTTAAGGTATTTAAATTGATTCAAAGTTAAATCAACACAACATTGGGATGCTTCAATTCCAATACGATCAACATGGACCTGCTCCTTTGTTGAGGTGATTCTTGTACACATGCCTTACATAAAGAATCTCTGATTTCGGCTCAACTCTAATTTCAGGGTTCAAATGCATGATTAAAAAAAAAATCTACTACAGATCTGAATTATGTTTGCTTATTAATAAGATTAAATGTGATCTTGCAACTCTATACAAAGATTTTGTCCTATGTACTCCTTTGTAAATCACTATTTCCCTATTGTAGTCTCAACCTATTCTTCAGGGTTCTGAACTAATCAAACTTGAATCTAAACTGCTTAGCAGTATGTTTTGATTTGGTTTTCACTAGAGAAAAAAATAGATTTTTCCTTCATATTCCTATGTACATGTAAAACTTTGATCTCCTGTTGTGGCCCACCCTACAACAAGCAGAGTCATTATTTGAACATACTTGAATCTACATTCCCTGAGGAGGCTTCCATATAAATATGAATAATAATGGCTTTGCTGTTCTTGTGAAGATTTTATTCCTATATATTCTTGTGTAAAACGTTGTTCACCTATTGTTGCCCTACGCTTACCCTGGCGTTATTGATTTGAACAAAATAAAATCTATACTACCCGAGGATGCTTCCACATTAACATGACTTTACATGGCCTTGCTGTTCCTAGGACGTTCTGTAACTTTGATCTCAAAGTGCTGCCCCACCTTAGCCCATTGTTTGATTTGAATAAAATCGAATCAAACCTTTCAGAGGATATTTCCATAATAAATATGAAAAATCATGAAATTGCTGTTCTACGATTTGTTTCGAATATATTCCTATGAAAAAAAAAACATTCATTGCCCGTTGTCCAAGAACTATGATTTGAACTATGATTTGAACAACCTTTAACCTACTCTACTGTGGATGCTTCAGTATCAAAATGACTAATAATTGCTTTGTTGTACTCGAGAAGAATTTACAAAACATCTCTATATATTCCTCTGTAAGACTTTGATCGATATATTCCTCTGTAAGACTTTGATCGCCTAATGCGGTCCGTCCTATCTCTGCGTGGTCATGGTTTGTTCAAACTTGAAACTACACTAACTGAGGATGCTTCCATTGAAATATCAGTAATCATTGCTTTGTTTTTCTTGAAAAGAAGATTTTAAAACATTTCTTCCTATACATACCTTCGTAATACTTCGACACCTAATATGTCCCCACCCTAGCCCCAGGGGGTCATGATTTGAACAAATTTGAATCAATAATATGCACGGCCTTAGTAGGCTTCCATATAAATACATGTCTGAGGATGGTTCCCTATCAAGATGGCTAAACATCACTTTGTTTTTGAAAAAAGATTTTTTTTAAGATTTCCTAGATATTCCTATTAGGTAGACAGTGTGTAAAACTATGATCCGTTATTGTCGCCCGCTCTATACCCGGAGGTCATAATCTAAACTTGAATCTCATTATTAAATAAAACTTTAACATACGTTTCATCTTTCCACTTATTTTTAATTATCTCCCCTTAAAAGAGGATTTGGCCCTTTATTTGAATAAGTATCAATAAGGATGCTTTGTGGCAAGTTTTGCTGCAATTTACCTAGTGTTTTTGGAGAAGAAAACAAAAAAGCGAAAAGTTTGCAGACAACAGGCGACAAATGAAAAACGGACGCCGTATACCCTTTGATCAAAAAACCTACTTAAGCTTCGACTCAGGTAAGTTAAAAGCAACCTTTTGTGTTTTTTCTACAGTAGTATCACATGAATACTTCTCCAGAACCACTTAATAACGTTTAAGATTTGTTTCTTTTCTCTTTTCTTTAAAGCAATGTCCTCCTCACGAAACTGACTTGTCCTTCATTAACATCATTTCTTTTTCTTGCAAAGGTAGACTATCATTGTCCTGGCTAATGTTTTCAATTCCTTTCCCTGAAAATCCGAACGAGGTTATCAATACATTTATAATCAAAAAGGTAAAGATAGCATATACTCATCTATCTTTATGAATCAGTATCAAGCATGTAAGTAATGTTACCAAAAAAACCCGCATACCATTGGATTGCTTTTTCCTCTTTTTATAACACCAAAGGAAAACCAGAGTTATTGTAATAATTACAATAACTAATATTATAATTATTACTACTGCTGTTGTTGAGATATTTGCGTCTTCTTCACCAGGCGTATTACTTGTTCTGGAAAAAAAAAAATATAAGTATATCCCAAGAAATAAATACTTTTTAATCTGAATGAACCTATCTCTATCAGTTTAATCCTTGGCTTTTTAAAAATACTTAGTGGATTTTCTCCTTATTATCTTAGGCACTCAAGAACACAGCTATAAAATTTTAAGATATTGTTATGATACATCAAACATGAATGGCTATATTTCTGCAAAATAATATAATTACTAGTACGATATTTCGTGATCATATTTATGCACGTGCAAAAACATACGCTAACTTATGCAAGTATTTTTATTTTTTCTATGTGAAAATTAATTCATCTTGCATGATTATCATTAAATCTATTCAAACTGACATGATTTTTTAAAGGTCCAACAACCCGCTGATAGGAGATATAACTTCCATAGAATGTTACCCAAAAATTCTCTTCTTCAGTGTTACATATTTACCCAAATGTAAATTCATTTACTATATTTCACACCTGTTGAAGAAAAAAATTAATGACACAAACATTTACTTTTGTTATATGATTGAATGATTCGCAGTTCTCTGATTGGCTGAGATCCTACATTGTAGAAAAAAAATCACTACGTTATATGCACCTGCAGGTGACTTTCCAGTGAACATTAGGATCTATTTTTTTCTCTTTTTTACACTGGACTAAAATAGATCGAGATCTTTTGAATTGATACAGATAGTTCTGGAAAGTCATTTCACTTGTACCAGACTTCAGCTCAGGAGAACATTCAGGCACAAAGAATCGGAGTGTGTGTTGGGGGGGGGGAGTGGCCTGTCTCCTCCATTTCATTTTTTACGTATTTTTTTTTTACTATTTATTTAGTATGAAATGTTCATAGACCCCCCCCCCCCCCGTTAATGGATCTTAACATCCCCCTCAAAAATAAAAATTGTTTTGGGAATTCTCCTCTTTTTCTGGGGCTAGCAAAAATTTTATTCGGGTAAGCTGTCATTTTTTATAATGCCCCCATCCCATCCCAATTTCAGAATAGATCCTACTTGCGTGCTTGACATTTATATTTTTTTTCTACATTGCAATTTGTATAGATATATGTAATCCAAATTATGTCATCGTTAACTGCTTATGTTAAATTTTAACCCCATTTCTCTAATTGCGTTTGGCTAGGACTTCAGCAAATGTAAATAAGTAAGATGGTGTGGATAGTTTAATTAGTTTGTATCATTTAATTATTGAATCATAAAATAACATGAAAATTGTATTCCTTCAGGTGGGTAAATCATCGTATTACTGATAAACAGCAATTAAGTAGACTTTTATTTGCCAATGTTTTTTATTATTATTTATGATATTTGACTTAAACATTTTAACTCCCCTTTTTTAACTGTTACTAAATTAGAATATATTATCTTTTTTTATATAAAATGTAAAAAAAAAAGAACTTCAATAATTTATCAACTATCGTGTATAGTATTTTTTTTTTTTATTAATTACCTTTATTACAATAATAAAAATTTAAAAAAGGTGACTCTTGCTGATGGACTCATCATTTTTTACCAGCATATAAAAGAATGTGATAATCTGACTTCAACGGCATCGTTTTTTTTTTTTTTTTTTTTTTTTTTTTTTTTTTTTTTTCATGTTTTGATAAGTTACTGTTTTTTTCTTTTCACTGTGTCAAGTTTTCAACATATCAATTTCTAAGAAAGTAAGCCGCGAGTCATGCTTTAATTTTTTTCCCATTGGAAGCTAAAGCATTTGTTGTTGATGATATTAGTGTTGTTAATTCTTATTTATTTATTTATTGGGGGTGATGAAATTTGGAATAGAGGGTCATTAGGCCCTAAGTTTGGGTGCTTAAATAATATTGAATATAATCCTGTTTCAAGTGCGTTATTTAAACAGACCCTGCAACAACCACCACTTTTTAATCAGTATCCCTTTTTTGTTTATTTCATATTCAACTCAAATTACGGATAGTTTGTTACAAGAAGCGAAAACTCTTGGTAAAAATCTCACAATATGAAAGAAAATTTTATGCATTACACATAGTTCAAAAAAGGGGATAAAAGAATTTTCCATCTGATACTGCATAAACAAATCTCACAATTAAAGGACATCAATTTTATTAAGTTACCTTCTATAGGATGAAATTTGTAAAACAATAATAAAATAACATCACAAGCCGCAAATCATGTCAATCGTGATATCGAATATATTGCAAATTACGGCGAGACAAGATAGATAAATAAAATAACATACAGTATTTCAAATCTGTATGTTCCGACCATTTTATTGACAGATGTTAATAAATAAACGTTAAACATCAACACAAAATACCTGTTTTCTGGGGGTTTAGTTCTGTTTTCCAAAGGCGTAGTTCCAGTGTCCGCTGAAGGTACTGTAGTCAATTGAATAGTCGAAGCTGAGGATGATGTTGTTGATACCATATCATAACATTTACCATCTACAAAAACAAGAAAAACAAAAACAAGAAAAATAGAATGGTTATCTTAAATCTCGCATTATTAACAATTACCTGTGATTTATCGATCAAAAGAGTCTCCCTTTATGATACTAAAAACAAGGTCACATCGTAATTGAAGTATCGTAGTACACATGTAAATATACAAATGTATTTAAAGAAGATAGGCGAAAAAGAAAAGCAAAATGCCTATCGTTCGACAAATAAAAAAGTGAAAAATTAAATCTCCATTAGGACAAATTTTCTTTGATATTTCATTTAACATTAAAGTATGCTTAAATGTAGAATCTCCATAAATCGCAACAATCTCACAACAAGTGGCCCAGGGACCAAGTAATACTCACCTGGGTAACTAATGGTCCTTCTGTTCTCGATCGGATGCCTTCCCATATATTCATTCATAAAATTAAGATAATGTCATATAATACTGTGGAATCGTTTTTATTCGTGGGGTCAAAGTTCGAGGCTAAGCAAAATTGGTATTGGTATGTGGGGAGGTATTTCATGGTTAACTCGTACATGTACATAGAGAAGGAAGATTCAATGAATGAATATGTTCATGAACATTGGTCCCCCTCCCCACGAACATTGATGATTCCACAGTACATAACATATTGTGGCCCCACCCTACCCTCAGTTGTCATTATTGGAGGAAACTTGAATCTGAAGATGCTTCCAAATAGATTTAGAAGAAGAATTTTAAAGATTGTTTTTCTTTTTATTCGTATGTCAAACTTTGAGCGCCCATATTGGTCCCATCCTATCTACCCAGGGGGTCATGATTTGAACAAAATTGAATCTACACTACCTGAGGGTGCTTCCATATAAATTTGACTAATCATGACTTTGCTGTTCATTATAAGAAGAATTTTAAGGACTTTCCTACGTATCTTGTTTAAAAATATGAACACCCACAGTGGCCCCACACTATCCCCGGGGGTCATGATCTGCAAAAACTTGAATCTACACTACCTCAGGATGTTTTCATACAAATTTGACTAATAATGACTTTGCTGTTCTTCATAAGAAGATTTTTAAAGATTTTCCCTATTTATTCCTTTGTAAAATTATGATCGCCAATAGTGGCCCCACCCAACCCTCTGGGGTCATGATCTTCACAAAATTGTCTTACACTACCTCAAGAGTTTTTTATACAAATTTGATTAATAATGACTTTGCTTTACTTGAGAAGATGTTTTTTTCCCCTTTTTTGCTTTCCTATATAAATTTAATCTCCCATTGTGGCCCCAATATACTCGTACCATCGGGGTACGTCATGATTTGAACAATCATGAATCTACACTACCAAAGAAAGCTTTCACAAGAGTTTCATTTTTACTGGCCCACTGGTTCCCGAGAAGAGGATTTTTAGATTAATTCACCCAATTTTCAGTATTTCTCAATTATCTCCCCTTGGCAGAAGGTGTGACCTTTCATTTGAACAAATTTGAATCTCCTTTACCCATGACACTCTGTGCCAAGTTTGGTTGAAATAGTCCCAGTGGTTCAGAAGAAGATGATGAAAATATGAGATATTTTCAACACGCCAACGCCGACAAGGACTGAAAACGGGCAAATTTTGATCAGAAAAGCTCACGAGCCTTCATTCAGGTGAGCTAAAAATATTGAAAATATTCATCTATGAAATAGCATACATACACCAAAGAGGGCAAAATTTATCAATTCTTGATATAATAAAACACAATTCTCCCATATGAGTGGGGCTTCGCTTATTTTTTTTTTTTATTTGAAAGATTTTTTATAATTCTATACCTTTCAATGATTTATACACTTGAAGCGTTTTTTACACGCATTGTTCGCCCATCTCCTTTCGTTTTATGGAAGATTTAAATGAATTATAATTGATATATTACTTAATAGCTAAGGTTTAGATATTGCCTATGCATGATTCCACAGAGTGTTTATTCAAACAAAAATTAGGTAAATAATTTATAGAAATTTACAAGTTAAACATATAAACGATCAAGTTTCTATTCCGTTTAATGGCATTGATGTAAAACTTTAAAATCTTACAGGGTATAAAGATTTTGAAGTGTTTGGATCTCATTACTGTACCATAAGCGATGGGTCAAACTCATTGTAGTGGTAAACACTATTTCTGTTGATATACTGAATAAAAAGATTGTTTAACTAATGTTTATAAACATGAGAGATTTGTGATGAAAGATTAAGTTAAAGAGGTACACACCTGAAAGTATTTTCAGGAAGTATGTGGAACATTTCAACTGCCATATGTCGAAAACATTCATGTTGTGGTGATATTTCATCATTGCATCTGATACTTTTACATTATAAGCTAAAATTTTAACATTATTTGTTGAAACTTTAACATTATATGTTATTACTTTAACATTATATGCAGATGCTTTGACATCATACGATAATACTTTGATTTATTGTGTTGATACTTTAACATTATATGCTGATACTTTGAAGTAATATGCTGATGCTTTGACATCAATCATATTTGAACATTAAATGCCGATACTTTGATATTATATGCTGCTACTTTATTATCATATGCTAATACTTTAACTTTGCATGCTGATGCTTTAACACTTTATGATGATATTTTAACATTACAGTACCAACCAGACCCAACCTGACACCTAAGCAGTCCCAGAAAGCAGTCCCCGGGACTGCTTTGGGACTGCTCTGGGACTGCTGTGGGACTGCTCTGGGACCGCTGTGGGACTGCTCTGGGACTGCTCTAGAAAGCAGACCCAGCAGTCCCAGCAGTCCCTGGGACTGCTTTCTGGGACTGCTTTGTTCACTCATGCATGAAAAAGGTTCTGAGTGACATGATAGCTCCGCCCCTTGTGTATTCTGAATTTGCAGGCTCCCTGTTGTTGTTTTGTTTACTTTCAGCAGAGAGGTGTTTAAGATAAAGAATTAAAAAAAAAACCCAAGGATTTCTTAGAATTTTTTTAATAAGTAGAGATAGATTTACATGTAATTACTAAATGTCTTCAGGGGCTGTAAATTTACTCAATTGTAGTCTAGAATTAATTTTAAAAAATGAAAGTAGTTAAAAAGGGAAGTCAGGAGATGACTTTTATTCCTTAAATTAAACTTTGATACAGGTGTCTGAAAAAAATATCTAGGCCTATTTAATTAATTAATGCTGTCAAATTATGTACTCAATTTTTGCATTAGCACTATTTAGAAAACAAACAAACTTGCCATTACAGTAAGATATTCAGAGGGACATACTGTACTGGATTTTTTTTAAATTGAAAAGGCTAAAACCATGCTAAAAAGAGCAGGTTATTTTTTTACCGCCCTCAAATAAAGCCTAATAATTTTTTAAATGACAATGAAATAAAATTATTCTACCATTCTTTAGTCATTTAAACAATGTGAACAATTATTGGGGGATTTATTTATGAATTTGTTTTTGATTTATAAACAAGTTATTAAAAGAGTAAATTTATAAAAAAAAATAAATAAATAAATAAATAAATAAATAAATAAACATTTGAAAATATTGGGAATTGTGACTTATTTCTTATTTGTTTTGTTTGTGTTTTCCTGGCCAAATAATAAAAAGCAATACAGATGTATAAAATGGTGTCAACACCTGAGGTTTATCGCCTTGGGCATGATTAGCAGAAAGTAAATGCATGTTATTTTGGGTATCAGTGTTACACATCACTGAACACGCTGGTCAACAATGACACTATTTTCAATCTATGCACTGCAAAAATCTTTGTTTCAATAAATGTGTATAAATTTATTTCGGGATTAATTTATTTTGAACATAATCTGAGGGTTCCATTCGCGTGATTTACAGATGTACACTCGAAAGTTTATATAATAAGAGTGTTATTATTTTCTGTTACATAGAGAATCTAACGATAATAAAATTAGCAAGTCAGTGAAAATAATCATAACTGAAATATAATACTCGGCAAAATTTGACAAAGAATTTTTCAAAAGCTCCAGTACTTAAGAAAAATGCATTCAGAATATAGTATGGGAATCGGCCTTATTCTATAATTATAAGATTTATTTAAAGCTAGTTCTGATAGAAAATAAATAACTCAAGTTTAATTTTCTATAAAGAAAAAAAATAAATAAATATGGAAACCAATATCAATCACAGTAAATTAAGAAATTGATTTATTTTGGTAAATTAATTAATTTAAAAAATTAAAAATTAATATACCACATAACTGATTTTAAATATTCAGGTTATTAGTAGGTGTGAACGTCTTCTTTGTTCAATATTATTTGTTTCTATACGCCTAGTGTTATTTTTTAACAGTTCAGAAATAGTTGTAGTATGAGAATTGTAAACATTTGTTGACACTGCTCAGAAAGAAATGCATCATCAATTTCAACTGCCTTTTATAGTTACATTGTTTATTGGTAATCTCATTTCTGAGTAAGCTCCGCCCATTAAATTAATTAACCCCGCCCACTGGGACTGCTGGGACTGCTTTCTGGGACCGCTGGGACTGCTTTCTGGGACCGCTGGGACTGCTGGGACTGCTCTGGGACCGCTCTGGGACTGCTCTGGGACCGCTCTGGGACTGCTCTGGGACTGCTTTAGCAGTCCCAGAGCAGTCCCAGAAAGCAGTCCCCGGGACTGCTCTGGGACTGCTTTGTGTCAGGTTGGGTCTGGTTGGTACTGTATATGCTGATACTTTTACATTATATCATGAAATTTCATCATATGGTTTTTTTTTAAAATTTGGTTTAACATCGTAACCGTGATATGTTAAAAACGGAAGAGCGATGTAACTGAGCGAGTGTGAATACGATCATAGGAACTTTCCAGCGGAACTGTTGAAATATGTATCCGTTAAACTATAATCGAAACAAAACATAAAACTCGTCTCCATTTTGGATTCCGCTTGGGGCACTATTTGATAAGCAAAGAAAATTTCTTTCTCAAGTCGGGCTTTTCTAAGACATCGGAAGCTGTCGTTTATTAAAATAAAATCAGGTTGAAACTTGCAGAATGTTCCGTGAAATCTGAGCACTGTGCCAAGATTTTTTAATGTTTTTGAAGAAAAAGAACTATTCAAAGTAATAAAACGTGGCTGTGTTTTTGAAAAAGCAATTATGATGGTACAGAGACTTAACACAGAATAATATAATTTATGGGATGACCATTCAATTCGTTGAAAGGGGGAGGGGTTCAAATAAGACTCTCTATTTTCGTGTCAGTATGTGCAGGACAGATTATTAATTTCCCAGATGACAAGGGACAGATTATTTATTTTCTTACGCACTGAAAAAAGTCTACCAAACTCGAAAACTCTATTTCAAGGTGAAAAGGGGTGGGGCTACCACCACTCCAAAGTCAGAATATTTTCTTCGCAGCTGAGGACAGATTATTTATTTCAGGCATGGTCCTTCATTTAAACAAAATTGAATTTCCTTCATCTAAGGATACTTTGTGGCAAGTTTGGTTCAAATTGGCTTAGCGGTTCTTGAGAAGATGTCGAAAATGTGAAACGCTTACAGACGGAAAGACAGTTCGATATGCTGACAGACATACGGACAGACGGACGCCATTCAAAATGTGATCAGAAAAGCTCATTCACGGGTATGTTAAGGCTACATTCAGATATTCTACTTGCCTATACAATATGAAGTCATAGTAAGCTGCATGACGTGATCTTTAGAGATATCGATTTCTTAGTATCTTCATTCAAAGTTTTATTTCAGGTCCAAGAAATGAATAGAAACATGTAAAATATAATATAAACTAAATCTTGTAATTTTTGGATGGTATAAATAGCGAAGTAATTGAAACGGGGGTAAAATACCGAACTCATGACGTCACACCTGTTGATAAAATATGTGCTGAGTGAAAATGAAACTAGCGAGAATTCATGTTAACAAATATATGAAGTAGGAGTTTAAAAGTTTATTCCGTGAATATCATGTGTGATTCATAAGGAATTAAAGACCAAGAACCAGGTACGCTGATTTAATCTTATCAATTTTTTATAAATGAAGACAGACAGTGCTATGAAATCCCGATCAGTCTTTTCTCTGTCGTTCTTAATAACAAATATGCAAAAGTTCAAACTTAATGTTTGTTTATACCGAAAGTTTGTGATCTATATTACTTGGAAAGTGCTGCTAGAATCGTGTGATTAACATGAATTGATAAGAATTCCTCGATCGTATTTACAAAATGTACAAGTTTTTTGGTAAGGTTTCAAGCTAGACTTTGGAATAATTTTTTTCTGTGATATGATAGTAAGATTCCAGCAGCACTTTTCGTGACCCAGTGATGTTCTTACATAATATTTTTTTACAAAGAAAAATTAATTATACACGGGGTACTTTTGAACTTTTCATTTATTCATTAAGGCAACTTTTCTATTTATAGACTTCACGTGATGACGTCGTTGTGGAGTGCTTCTTTTAGCCTAAGATTCAATGACGTCTATACAATGGATGATAATAGTAAATCTTTTTATCCATGGCTTTTCCGATTTATCAACGTTACAATTTTTTTTTAAAAAAGTATAAATTCGCCGAATAACGATCTATGTGCTGCCTTAACATATCTGCGTTTGCGCCTTCGGCTCAGGTGAGTTAATAAATACTCAAAGATAATACTTATAGTTTTGGGAAAAAAAAATACTTGAAGTCTAAGATATAAATCATGACTTTTTGCACTTAAAAATAAGAAAAAATAACAGAATACAATATGTCTAATTATATTCAGATGAAGAAGTAACGACATTTTAGAATATTTTGCATGAACATTATTGATAAATCTACATTTTGTTTATCTAGAACACAAACATGATGTCACATTTCATTTCTTAAAAGTTATTGAGTTGATGAATAAATTGTAATGAAAATTGATTTTCGATTTTCATGTGTTTTTGCAAATGTAAACCTTGTCTATTTTATTGAAACACTGAATATTTCATTTTTAAATTCCAGGAGATAGATTTAATTCTCTATTGTTTTTCTGACGTTTGAAAAAAGTTGTTAATAACTTTTTCTTAATTTTAGGACATGTTTTTTGGCCACTATGAAGGTAAAATGTTAAGCAAATTTGCAAACATTTCTTGTCTGAAGTTTTCTGCTAGAAAAAAAAATAGTTCCCAAAAAAACTTATGAAACTTTTCACTTTCCATCTAATACATATAATATAATAATGTTAATCGTATATATGCGATGTATTATGAATCTGAAGATAAATATTCAACATATATATTTGAAAGAGCATTTTTGAATCCAATAGATTAATAGCTTACTTCCTTAAAAATATTAACATGACATTTTTTCTTTTATGTTTGGATTGAGTCAATATTAAATATATCATATATATATATATATATATATATATATAGAGAGAGAGAGAGAGAGAGAGAGAGAGAGAGAGGTTAAAATGATACATTTCATATTTTTTCGTCAATTCAGACGAGTAACGAAAATCAAAATCGTAATATCGTTTTTTTTCTTGCATTAGAGTGTAGATACGTGTAGTTGAAAAAAATCCAATAAAGGTATGACAACACGTTCCTTGAATATCTGTGTTTCCATCTCTTTGTAATATACTAAAATTATTTATGATTATTTACTATTATAATCTTTTGTTTTCTAAACTGTCTTCAAACAATATAGTTAACCAAACCGTGAAATCAGCAGTTCAATGATCTCCAGTATAGGATTATATAAGATATACCATCTTCCGGAATCTCAAATACATGTAAATACCTGGTAATGTACCCCAATATTCTGTGGGGAAACATCTTAAATAGTCATTTTTTTGGGGGGGGGGGGGATTATAGATGTTTGAAGAAACGTGTTGCCTGACCTTAACACACGAAATATTGGAAATAGATATACAACTGATAAGAATTCGGCTAAAATTCTTTATAAACATATTATCTGTGAAGATCATCTCCTGAAGTATATCTACATAACTTCAGCCGCTATCCATTGGTGTGTGACGAAACGCTGGAGTGCTAAAAGTCATTAATTGAAGAGACTGGATGGTCAGTCAGTAATTTAAAAAAAGAAACTGAAGAATTTAAAGTTTATTATCAAAACTCTTTGAGACAGTAGAAATAAGCTATTCAAAATGAAGTCGAACAGAAATATTGCTTCCAAATTTGCACACATACATGAAGACGACACCCCTTATATTTAAGAAATGAATTTAATTTTTGAAGATTCATGAGGACATGAACTACGACGCTTCACGACGGCATATTTCATGAAGCGCGTTAGCGCTTCATGATAAATATGCCGGCGTGAAGCGTTGTAGTTTATGTACCTCATGAATTTTTAAAAATTAAATTCATTTCTTATATTTACATTATTTTTCTGATGAGTCACCATAAATTACGCTATTCAACTATCATTTTTTAAGCAAAACAGTTTGCACTATAGTTTTGACGTCGAGTGCGGTATTATGACGTAACAATGGAGATATTCATGCTCATCCATGGTAGTTCATGAGAAAATGAACAGTCTTCTCATTTGCAAAGAATCTTAAGGAAAAATATTTGGAAATGTAAATATTTGAATTTACATGGTGAATACGTTAACGTTCATACATATAGCTTAATTTCTGCAGCTTAATTTCCGTAGTTTCATCAAACTGTTTTCTGACCATTTCTACAGGAACGGTATTGAATTGGTGAAGGGGGCGGGGGGGGGGGGGGGGGGGAGGGGGACTAAAGACACTTAAGAATTTTTTTTTTCTATGTAATATCTGAGTAGTTTTCAAAAACTTTCTTAAAAGAAAAGCTCGCTTATGCTTATTGGACGGGGTTAATAAATTAATTTAAGTTATATTACCTCACATTTTTTTTTAAAATTTGATACATGTTTATACTTACATTTGTATGCCTCGGTAGAATTGTAGGATACTGGACATGGAGGACTATCGTCTTTGCAATTAGCAAAAAAATTGGTGCGGATTTTTTGAAGCTCAGTGTTGAATTCTGCACACATGCCGGCTGTGAAAAAAAGGTATTGGTATTAAATATAACTTCTTAATTACAATCACATTTGAAGGCATGGTTGGCTTTCTTGCGCCATAAGCAGATATACACCATTCAGTCAACGGAATGATATCTGACCTCTGAAAGGTCACTGAAGGTCACTGAAAGGAGTCTGTCAGTAATAGTGTACCATTCCGTCGACTGAATGGCAATTATATTTAAGTTACCGTTCAGTTGATCTTGTTTTCTTACTTTATAATCTGCTTATTTTTTTAACTTAGCTTTTTTAGCTTACCTCGAAGTATAGCCGAGGTTATGCTATACCCCGGCGTTGGCTCGACGTCAGCGTTAGCGTCAGTGTCACCGTTAAAGTTTTCGGAGCAAGTCAGTTCTCAAGTACATGTAACAAGTCCTACCTGGACCAAATTAAACTTGTACGGATGATGCATCTAGGGATGGAAATATACAAGAATTGCTTCGAAGGCTAGATCTGACATACGTTTTCCAGATGAGTGGCCAGGTTAAAGTTTTTGGGGCAGGTCCATTTCCAAGTAAGTATAAGCCTTACCTGGACCAAACGTGTATCGGATGATGCACCTAGGAGTGAACACTACCAGACCTGCTTCGGATGCCGTTTCTTACCTGATTTTCAAGAAAAGTTAACTGATTTTAGTCTATTGGAGCAGGTCCATTCCTAAGTCCATGTAACTATAAGCCCTACCTGAAGCAAACTTGCATGATGATGCATTTGAGGAAGGAAACACCCAGACTTGCTTCAGACTCTATATCTGACCTATCTTCCAGATGAGTTAACAAGTTACAGTTTTTTGGAGCAGTTCCATTTCCAAGGAGCTATGTGCCCTACCTGGACCAAACTTGCGTGGGATGATGCATCTAGGAATAGACACTATAAGACTGGCTTCGGATGCTGGATCTGACCTATATTTTCCAGAAAGTAACAGGTTAAACTTTTTGGAGCAAGTGCATTCCCAAGTAAATAGCCCTTCTTGGACAAAACTTTCATTGATATTGCAACTAACGATGGACACTATCAAACTTGTTTAGGGTGCTGGATCTGACGTACGTTTTCCAGATGAGTGACCAGAAGTTTTAGGAGCATGCCCATTCCCAAGTAACTATAATTCTCTTGTGGGCAAAGTTAAATGGATGATACACCAAAGGGTGTACACTATTCAACCTGCTTCGGATGATAGATATGATTTATATTTTCCAGGTGAGTGAATATTAGCCAAAACTAAACCAAACTAGCATGAATGATGTATCAAGTGATGGACACTCCTAGACTTGCTTTGGATGGTGGATCTGACCTATATTTGTCACATACGTGACAAGAGTAATGTTTTATAAGTAAAAGTAAAATAAATAAGTAGCTCTATAATATATGGCTGTTATTAAACGAAGGATGATGGAACTAGGGATGGACATTACCAGACTAGCTTTTGGATTTTGGAACTGACCTACATTTTCTGGATAAGTATGAACAGGTTAAAATTTTTGAAGCAAATCCATTCCCAAAAAACTCTAAGTTCTGCTTAAACCAAACTTGCATGAATATTGATGTCACTAAGAACACTAACAAGAAATAAAATTAGTGTGAGATTCCCATTACTTATATTAAATATTCGTCGAGGTGTGCTTCGTAGTATTAGATTACCTATGGGTTTTTTTTCCACTTTTCCCTATGATAATTCAATTTATCTATTTTCCAATAAAAAAGATATATGTATCTAAATGAAAGTGAACTAGAAAAAAGCATGGAGTCGAACTGGGTACATCCCACTATATAGTCTGTAATCTTATTCATTACGCCACAAGATTTACATTAATATTTGAGGGAAAAAAATCAATATTTTTCAAAAAAATTACCTGCACCTGCTTCTTCTGAAGTCTAAGAAATGATTCGACATATATTTTCACCTTAAAGAATCTTGTAAATTCTACTTCTAAATAAATACATTTGAAGATGACATACATTTGAAATGATTTCTTTTAAGTCTAAAACATCATTTAATCAATTGATGTAACACCTGTGAAATTTTTGGGGGTTCATGTTTTATGCCCGGTTCACAGATTTGTATTATTTGTAGATTTTTTTTTAGATCGATCACTGTTCGTTATCTTCACCTTTATCATTGATTTCAACATTATGAAAACATTTAGAAAATTACATAAGAGGCATAAATAATTAATTATGTCACTCTGAGAAATTTCATAAAATCTAAATGCATAAGCTTGACTTAAAGGGGCTGTTAAAGATATAGATTTAAAGTTAATATTTTCAGTATTATATAATGACTTATGTGTTGGAGCATTTCACGCTGAAATATAACAAAACTGTATTTAGAAACTATTTGGAAATAATCAAAACTACGAATTTCAGGACGCGTTTGTATGAAACATATCCTTGACTTTCAGGAGGTTAACTTTATCCTGAATACTTAGAAAAGTAGAAATGTTGTGTATTAATGAAAAATATTAAAACTAAAACACAGAAAATTCAGAGTAAAAAATGTGAGAAAGCAAAACCAATTCAAGTATTACCTGTCTGTGCTCAGTGATGTGTACAGAGTAAACAAATGAAACATACCTTTAAAAAAAGTAAACATTGACAATTACAGAACTCGTGCCATGTTTACAAACACAGATGTTTGACGTTGTAGTAAGAAGGATGTCGTTGTCATAGAGTTCTAAGAATATTCATGTAAGTTCAATTCATTAAATTGAAGTTATTTTTGGATAAAAATAGAAAATAATTAATTTCAAATCGTTAAAAATGCAACTGTGCCCAGGCCCCTTTAAGAATAATTCAGATTAAAGAATGGATCTAAACAAATGAAATATAGTATTTTCTTGCTTAAAATATATATATATATATATTAGGGATGTCAACGAGTACCCGGTTAACCGGGTACTCGATCGAACGTCCGAGTATCGAATACTAAAAATGGTACTCGGTTACTCGGATGTGTATTTTTACTTATTTCAATTACATATTTTTATCAAAAACTAATCAAAAAATAACATAAATATGCATACGGTAATTTGTGTGTCGTCATTTACACCTGTAAAACACCCGTTATCGCCTGTGGCTGTGTATATACAGTAATTAGTGACCAATCACCCAGCTGTTCTCACCTATTGTGGTACTTAATTTTGGATGGCTTCAATGATTATTTTCAGTGAACATCGAAGGTCTATTATCTTCAAATCATTTTAAAATTATTTAGTTAATACACGGCAGTGAAATAGGACATGCATAGAAATGCCGCTACCCACTTCAAAAGTGAAGATATATTTAGAAATAACTAAAGATTCAAAAAAATGTTAAAAGTCAGTTTGCGTAGTAAGTTTAGTGTATACGGGGGAAACCATCAACGTATGAAATAATATTAGACTAGTGATCCCAACAACGGCCATACCTTCTCTTTCGCACAGGTGCTTGGGGGACGCCCTCCACCGTGTTCCGTACCCCAAGGGTTTTTTGACTTTTTTAAATAAAATATTTTTCTTTGACACATTCACAAAGTATTACAACTATAAAAAAAACATCAAAAACTTAACCTAAAACTAGCCTTTTATGAAAATTCAAACTCTCTGTTACTAAAAGAGAACAGTTCTCGGGGGGGGGGGGGGGGAGGATCCCCAAGCACCTGTGCTCTTTCGCTAGTCATGCGTAACAGATTTTCCTCCTTTTGATGAAATATGTGCTAAACAAGAACAGTAAACCATTTGTAATTTTTGATGTATTAATTGTGTCTTTTGTGTTTGATAAATGAATTTACTACCAAAAAAATCATTTCCGTTGGAATCGATGTTTATATGCATTTATAAACGTGATAAAAACAGCTTTGGGGTTTAACAGAGCTTAACGGGGCTCAATAAAATTAACACACTTGTATTTGCATTTTTTACCGAGTACCCGGGTACTCGATCGGAAAAACGTCCGAGTAACCGATTATCAAAAATTGACCGATTTGACATCCCTAATATATATATATATATATATATATATATATATATATATATATATATATATATATATATATATATATATATGTATATATATATAACGTTTGAATTTATTCATATATCAATTTTAGACTTAATAACGTCATGAAAATATTCATCAAGGATTTTACCGAAAAAAGGAGAAAAATCATTGCCATTTATAACCTTATCATAATATTTTATCTTTTAAATAATTCTCTTTTTCTAAGTGCAACGAATAAGAAATTTGAATTTTTTTTAGATTTGTATGAGTCCATATTCGTTTTAAACAGTTGAATTATAATCTTTGACATGTCTATATGACTTTGATCAGAATTTTATAATTTTAGTAAACAATTTAAACATAATTTAACATCTAGTCTTTACCAGCACAATGTACTGAATTCTACCTGAATATTAAAACCTCAATAATAATCACAGAAAAACAGGTAAAGATATGAATATAGCTAAATATTTAAGAAACGGTTATTAATAAACCAATGAAAAGCCGATGAAATGTTCTTGAATTACGATGGATAAAAAGGGGACTGAAAGACGACGGAAAGGGCACGGAAAAATTGAAGATAATGGAATTGTGCCCCTGAATGGTGATTGACATGTGCCTGAATTGTGGCAGAAATGTAACTGAATTAAGGTTCACTGAAATATATCTGCCGTTCAGTGATTGAATGTCCACTGAAAAGACACTAGAAGCTGCTCCTAAGTTTCACTGAAAATCTTATTTCTTCCTGTGTTTATTCTGTACATTTAGGAGACAAACTGTCTGCATGATTATATAGATCAAAACCTAGCAGCTGAACTTAGGACAGGGTTAGATATAAGCTGATTATTTAGAAAACCTCGAACGTGACATCATTCACATTTCACATCTTCACCTCTGTTCATCTTGAAGAAATGCAAATGTAACGAATTAATGTTCTTTCAAAAAATGAATTTTCTGTGAGAGCATCAATCAGTTCATTATGCATTGTTGCTAAGAATGCCTC